TCAAATATATTTTAGTATATTTTTAATATATATTTATATTTTAATATTCTATATATTTTAATATATTCTAAAATATATTTTAGTATATTTTTATATATACTTATTTTTTAATATTATATATATTTTAATATATTTTAAAATATATTTTAGTATATTTTTATATATTTATATTTTAATATTTTATATATTTTGATATATTCTAAAATATATTTTAGTATATTTTTATATATATATATTTGATATATTTTGATACTTTTGAATATGTTTTACATACATTTGGATTTATTTTTAATATATTTTAATACATATTTGTAAATATATTTTGTATATTTATATATTTTCATAATTTGTATATATTTTATACATTTTTATATATTTTAAATATTTTTTCCATGACTTCTACATATATGGTAAACTAACTTCAGACAGTGGTATTTAGAGGTTCTTCTGTATTCTGGTGTCCTCAGAGGACTGAGGAGGAGCCCCAGTTTAAAAAAGGCCTGACAGAAATAATCCACCGGCTGCAGCCAGATAATGGAGCCCTGTGTGGAGGGTCACATCCTGCTGTTTAAACCTCATTTTGTTTCCTCTGGAGGCAGAAGTGGACCTCGGTTCTGTTCAGTAACACCTCGTTAATCCATCAGGGTTAATACATTTCCTTAATACAAACTCTGTGGAAACCTTTTTCTTCGGCTTCTTGTTTCTGGGGTTGATCTTGTGTTCTTTTTGTTTGTTCAGTCCTTTGTTTTGCTCCAGTCTTGATTTGTCTTTTATCCACTTTTCTCTATCGGCTCTCGGGTGGTGATGTGTAACCCGTTTTTTTCTACGAGTCTTAATGATTCATTATTGGCTGAACATGAAATCGGTTCTGTCTCAGTTCTGTTTGTTTGCTCCTCAGTTTCACCATTTATTTAGAGCTCCTCTCTCACCTGCGTTTTCCTCTAATCATGTTCATGTTGAGACCTACGACTTAAAATAAATCGATGTCCACCTGCATCTGAGTCAGCCTAACTGAGGATAGAGAATCAATAAATGTCAATAAATATGAATACATATCAATACATATTTAAAAAATATTCAATAAATATGAAGGTTTTTTTCCAGCTTTTTGTGTGGCAAAAATCTGAGGCAGCGGCCCCAATTCTAATCAACAAACCCCGGAGATTCCACGTGTTCTTTGTTTCTTTGTTTGGCTGTTGTAGGGATGTTTTTTTTTTTTTTAAATGGACTTTTGTTTTTACTGCACATGGTCAGATTGTTGTTTCCTGGATACTATGGGGCTGTATCTGTCAGGAAGGTGGATTTTGATGGAGGACTCAGGTGCGGAGATGCAGAAAACAGGGTTTATTGTAACAAAAAACAGGTTCAAAAACAAGACTGTGGCAAAACTATGAGCAAAGTAACAAAGCAAGGTTAACAAAACTGTGGCAAAGTATCAAAACAAGACTGTGGCAAAAGTACAAACGAGATTAACATGGCAGGGGTCAAAACAAGGCTATGGCAAAGTAACAAAATAAAGATTAACAAAACTGTGGCAAGGCTGTGGCAAAACATGCGAAAGACAAAAGACGAAAGACAAAAGACGCAAACGAACTGGCCCAGGACATGGGAAACGAGGACTATTTAAACACATGGGGGAGGGGAACCCCAGGTGAACACAATAGGTAATCAACACATGACAACACACCAGACATTCCCCCAGACATGACAGTATCAGAGTCAGAAATACTTTAATAATCCCAGAGGGAAATTGGTGATGGGGGTGTATAATAGGGTTGTCAAAAGTATCGATACTAAAACGTTGTATCCGGATACGATACTCATTTTCAAAAGTATCAATACCCCCCCACTTCTCTCAGATTTATTTATGTAGTTTTTACGTTGTTTATGGTCATTAACAAGTTGTTAGCCTTGAACTGCTAGCTTCGGCTAATGGCTAATAATAACATGCTACCATTAATCAAGTACAAATCCGACTCCGCCCACATCGAAGTCGGCCATTATAATTACATTAACAACAGGAAGATTCCAGGCTAGAAAATCCTAATTGCCTCATGGCAATATAGAGATTCATTTAAAAATTGTGAAATTAATCTTTCGAACACTTAATTAAACTCTATACATATTATTATGTTAAAATAGTGTATGTTAAATAGGTTTGTACAATAAGTCCAAACAAGTTTAACCAAAATTTCTCACAATTATGAAGGGTGGAGGGTTAGGGTTAGGGTTAGGGTTAGGGTCACGGTTAGGGTTAGGGTTAGGGTTAGGGTTAGGGTTAGGGTCATTAATGTGGGCCTCCAGTCACGATAACATCAGTAACAGGTCAGTTTGAAATGAAAGACACTAACCTGTCAAATTCAATTACATTTTGGGGTCTTTGTTTTTATCCTTGTGGTATCGAGTATCGAGTATTTTTCTGAGTATCGGTATCGAGTTGAAAATTTTAGTATCGTGACAACCCTAGTGTATAATGGGGGTGTATAGCGGTAATGGGGGGTATATAGTGGTAATGGCGGTAATGGGGGTGTATAATGGGGGGTGTATAGCAGTAATGGGTTCTGTGCATCAGAGGGGTAAACACTCAGTAAAGTGTTTTCTGACTGTGTGAGAGGCTTTGGTGGATAAACGCTTTAACGTTTCACCTGTGTGATGGTTTATGTATTCATAGCTGCACGTAGCTGCTGAAACATTAAAAGTTAACTCTGAGTCATTTTATATTTTATGGGTTTTTTCTATGACTTCGGCGTATGATGGAAATTAACTTCAGGTGTCGAGTCGAATGTTTGATCGATTTCACTTCACTTTTAGTTTCACTTTCACTTCAGATGTTTGATAATTCGTATGTTTAGGCATAGTAAATAGAGGTTTTGCTGTATTTTTTCATTATTCCCCTTTTTTTTTAAAGCTAGAGGATACACGCTAATGAGCAGAAACAAGAAAGGGACGACACAGAGAGTCCATCTAAGTTCTAAGAGCTGTTGAGCCTCATGTTGATCTCTGTTATCTTCTTCTCTCCTCCTCTTCCTCTCTCCTCTTCTTCTTTCTTCTTCTCTCCTCCTCCTTTCAGAGCTTTGCGGAGAACACCATGAACGAGCTCCTGGGATGGTACGGCTACGATAAAGTGGAGCTGAGGGACTCCGACAGCCTGGAGATCGGAGAGGCTCCACAGCACGTCTCCGTCCTCAGAGGTGAGTCCAAGGGGCCAAAGGGGGTCCAAAAGGGTTTCAAAAGGGTTCCAAAGGGGGCCAAAAGGGGTCCAAAGGGGTGCTAAAGGGTCCAAAGGGGCGCTAAGGGGTCCAACAGGGTCCATAGGGGGGCCACAAGGGGCCCAAAGGGCCCAAGTGGGCAGCCAGGGGTCTAAAGAGTTAATTTATTTTATGTTTATTTTTGTGTATTACTGTTGATTAATGCCCCTTTTAAAAAGTTGTGAAATACTGTAGACTAAAATAAGGAGCTGTGTTTTCTGTGGCTTTGGCCCAAAACGTCCCCAAATCCTCCTTAACTCATTGACTGCCACAGTTTTTTGGAGCATTTTGACAGATTTTTCAAGAGCCACAGAATAGTTTGTGCTATGACTATGTAAACACCGAACACACCAAAAGAAAGAGTAGACTCTCTTCTTTCATCAGGAAAAAAAATGTGTTTCTACCTTATTCCGTTCTTCCTGGACTTGCGTCTCACCGGCGACATGTTCTCTCATAGAACCGTTCCCTTTTTCTTATTGGCCTACAGTCTATGCTCATCTCCCATCAAAAGTGGCACTGCCCCCTAGAGGGTCAATTTGTTACTACATACTCTGTCTAGAAGCCCATATTTACGGACAAGCTTTAGCAGATCGTCCCCCAGACACTCTCGTTAAAAACATAAAAGACCTCTATAGACGTCTTTGGCAGCCAATGAGTTAAAAAACAAAATTATTTGATCCTCTCTCTTCCCTTTAAATCCACCAGTATTTGGTAATATTCTGATTCTTCCTGTACAGAGAACTCGGTGCCAAAGAGCGGCGCCCCGGTGGAGGGCGGCGGTTCCCCGGACCGGATCTCCACGCCGGCGCCCAGAAACGGCCTATCAGAGCACGCCATCACGGCCTCCACCTCCACACCCGTGCCCATGATCCCCCCCCCACTGATCAAGCCCCCCACAGGTACCGGGTTCTGTCACGTACAGTGGGGGGAATAAGTATGTGAGCCCTTGCTGGTTTTCAGGTTTGCCCACTTACAAAGAATGCAACGATCTATAAGTGTCCCGTCTGGGGGAATGTCTGGTGTCTCGTCATGTGTTGATTACCTATTGTGTTCACCTGGGGTTCCCCTCCCTCATGTGTTTAAATAGTCCTCGTTTCCCATGTCCTGTGCCAGTGCGTTTTCGTCCGTTTCGTCTTTCGTTTTTCGTCTGTCCTTCGTCACCCCCACGTCAGTCCAGGTTTGCTTTTTGCCACAGTCTTGTTTACTTATTGCTTTGATACTTTGCTCACAGTTTTCCACAGCCTTGTTTTGTACTTTGTCTGGAAGGGAAATAAAATAAAAAAATAAAATAAAATAAAATAAATAAAAAAATAAAAACCAAAACAAACAATAAAAACCCTTTTTTATTGATTATTTCTTTATCATTTATTTCTTTTTCCATCTCTCTTCTAGAAGTCATTTGTTTTCTTGCTATGTGTAATTATCTGCAGTGTTTATTAAGGAGTTATCGTAGGTTTTTGGAACCAATCCTAGGAATTACAGAGTATTCTGATGGAAGATTTGAACCAACAAACCAATATTTAACATAGAAGTCCCTCCTGGAACCAGTTAGACTGTTATAGAGGTTCTACTGTATCCGGTTCTGGTTTAGAAACAGCAGAACGGAGAGTGAGGGGGACCCAGATATATAGAGATAAGACTCTGGATATGATGGAAATCCTCTGAGGTTGCAGACATGGAGGGAAAGGCACACAGAGAGGAAAACAGGAACCAACCACAGACCCCAGAACCAGTTTAGGGCTGGAACAGACTCCCGTCAGCTTTTATCTGGTGGTGGCAGAAAGCCCAGAACAGACTGAGAAACTCTCCGGCTCCCAAAAGAAAAAGGAGGGATGGGACTCCATCCCAGTTCAGATGGAGGCCGGGCAGGTGTAGCTCCACTTATGTAGAAAACAAACCTGGAAAATCCCCAGAAAATAAGCCTCAGAGAGCCGGTCGTCTATAGAAAAAGGAGGCGCAAGACGGTCGTTTTAAGCCAGACAGCTGAGATGTGGGGATTTAAAGCAGTATTTTTCAACCCCTGTGCCTCCGTACACTAGTGTTTCTGAAGTCTTTTGGATGTGAGACTTTTTGCATCATTCAGTGGTAAAAGCTTTGCTCAAACCCCTGTTGTACACATTCAGATATACCTGATAACAGCCAGTAGAAGACCACACCAACATATATTTTTGACTT